TGCTGAACCCAGAATATGCAATTTATAATTTAAATTTAAAACTTAAGTTCAACTCTAATTGGTTAAGAGGAAGACAAATTTAAGTGTCAGCACTGTTCATTAATCTAAAAAAAAACAAAAAACAGTGCACTGCCTACAGGTACCAAAAGGCAAGCTAAAATAACAATACTTCCTATTCTGAATTAAACTGTGTTGACTGTTGATATTGGAAATAGTTTGCTTAACCATAGCTAGTCTTCCCACAAGCTTCCAAGTCTCAACTAATGTGACCTTTTTTTCCCTCCCACTATGTTCCAAAAATCATAAATTTGTTTTTGCCTTGCTTCCTTCCTCCAGATTAAGCCTATAATCAAGACCTTGAAACACATGACTACAGAAACCTACTAAAGATGTCTGTTCCAAACCAGCACCATTCAACTATTGTTAATCCTCTGCCACCAGAATACATAAATCCTAAAAACAATGGTTGTCTAACAAATCAACTTCAATATCTGCAGAAGGTGGTCATGAAAGCTGTGTGGAGGCACAGCTTTTCCTGGCCATTTCACCAGCCTGTTGATGCTGTTGCACTAAACCTTCCGGTAAGAATTCAGTCTGGTATTGTATGGCGACCTTAATAACCTGTAAAACAGTAAAATAAGTTGGGCCCTAGGAGTAAATTGAAATTTTGGTGCTAGAGGATTTAATTTTTGTTTTGTGTGTGTGTGTGTGTGTGTGTGTGTGTGTGTGTGTGTGTGTGTGTGTGTGTGTTGTTTTTAATACAGAAAGATTCTGCTCCATATTGCAATTTAGGTTGATTAGCCATGTTATTCCAGGGTCTTTCCAGCTCTTCATGAAAGTCAATGCTGGAAGGGGTAAAGGTGGCTTTAAAATGCCCCGTGCAGTTTCCTTTGGACTGTTTTAAGTTATGCCTCACAGAAGTATAAAACGATCTCAGAAAATGCCTTTACATATGAATCGCAATATTATGATATGATGGAAAGTGTCAGGCAACTAATCTGACTTGGCAACTTTTTGGGAACAGTAAAGTTGACATCAAATCTGTCTAAAATCTTTCTACTACTTTCACCAAAATAAAGAAAATTTCCATATCTTAAAATACTAGAAACTAACTGTGTAATACACCAAAAGGAAACTGACTTTATCTTACTAGAGCATTTCCTCTGGTCATACTAGTTGCTTAATCAATAGATCTTCAACTTTAGAAGAATGAAATACTTTTCTGGTCAGTCAAATCTGTTGCACTGAGCAAGCATTTCTTAGAATAGTGTGTTACCCCTTCCCTTATTAACTATTCAGTTAATAGTTAATGGAATTCTATAGCAGAATTCCAATGCACAGTACATTAGGTAATGCATTTTAAAGCTTCATGGGTATTGAAGATAATTCTTTCCAAGTTCCCTACCTATTAAGAGTTAAACCTAGGAACTGGCATGGTTCTGAATTGTCGATTTTAATCTATGATATTAAGCAAGAACCAGAACTAGATTCGGAGAGAGAGAACCTTGAAGGGAGTCTGGTAGGCAATAATGTCTTTAAGAAAAGCTGCTTCCTAGTCCTCATTATCTTTTGTATTGCATACTGAAGCATGGGAGATTTTATCCTTTCCAAATCCCTTACTTATGATTTCTGGTATTTGAAACATTTACTTATCTACAAACTTCTCATCCCTTTTAGAGAGACAGTTCTAGGAGTGTCTCTCTATCTCCTATAATAATGAGTTCCATGAACAGTGACCACCATGCAATGCATTTCCTTTCATTAGTCCTACACTTTGCAACGTCAAGTTTTTGAATGTTCCCTTCATTCTTCTGGAGTGAATCAACTACTATTCTTCCTCTGAACCATCTTCTCAATAGCATTGGTTTTATTTTATACTCTTACCTTTACCTTATTCATCTAACTGTTCTTCCAGTCTATCGCTGAACCCCTTATGGATATTATAATTGCCTTTTTTCTTTGTTGTTTTTTTTTTTTTCTTTCCCACACCAGAAGTGCATGTGGGTTTTTAAATATCTTGCCTTGAACTGGGGCTTCCAGCTTCATTGCCAAAGAAGTTTGCAAAACTTCGGGCAAAGAGTTGACTTCCTTTCTCTCTATCCTAAAATGTGCCTGTATGTCTGTTTTGTTTTTGGTTTTTTTTTTTTTTTGTTTGTTTTTTTTGGAGTGGGTTAGGTCTGCAAGGAGACTTAATAGCTGTTTGCAGAAGGCTACCTGCCTTGCCCTATAACCTAGTTGTCTGGAAAGTTGCATAGATATGAGAGCCAAGTGCAGATTTCCTCTCCCATTAATACTGTGCAGGGACTAGGGCCGTCTCCTGGTATCTTTCACCTACCAGGAGATGGCCCTAGCCCCTGGTCTCTAAGAGTGTGTGCTCTGGGAGTGGGGGAGGGGAGGGTACTGGGTGCTTTATTTAGAGCAGCTTCAAGAACTACTTTAATTAAATCACCGAGGGCATCTTGTGTATCAGCATCCCCATGCTTCAAAACAGCAGTGGCAGGGGTGCTTTTTATCTAAAGCTCATTGAATGAGGTTGGATAAAGCACCGCCACTACCATCTTAAAGTGTGGGGACGCTGAAGCATGAGATGCTGAAGCGTGGTAATTATCACGCTCCAGCAGACTACTTAACTGAGTCTGCTCCAATGTGCTGTAATTACAATACACGAGCAGCAAGGCTGCTCAGATACTTCGGTGCCCTAAGGTCTCTGCCAATCTTTTGTCTGAAACCATTCCATTCTGTTAAATTCTCATTGCCTGTAGGATCATTCATGTTCAAATGACTAGGATATCCTCCCAAGGAGTGAGACACTTTGGGTTAAGTTTCTTGCTCCAGTTCTGTTAACAGTTTACTACAAATCTAGAACTTCTATTTTATTAAAACTGTATAAAACCCTATGTTTTATATGACCCATTGTCAAATATTCTGAAACCCCAGTTTCTGATCAAGCCAAAGCATTATTTCCATTTGGCAGCCAAATCAAAATATCTATTATTAGTATGGTTATAACGTCTGATAGCCTGAGAGATGCTGAAGTCAGCTTCAATAATTTCTTAAGTCTGCATTATTAAATCCTAAGTAAACTTTACATTTTCTTCATTATTGTTTAGACTTGTTGAATTCTTATAGTCTCCCTTCCCTAGTTCTAGCCACAACATACCTCCTAGTACTTAAAATTTTCTCAAAACTAGTCCCTTCAAATCACTGGTTTTATTTGGACCAGACAAACCTTTTATCTGGATCTTTCTCTTGACAAACTCATTTGGTCAGTTTGTCTAAAGGCACTGTTACAGTGACTCTCTGTATCTGTTTTGGGTGTATCTTTTGTTCTTAGGAGGAACTGTCACTTGAGATGAATATTCAAGGTCATTTAATCAGTTGCAGCAAGAATTGTAATTAGCCTCAGGCCAGTTCTGCCTCTTCAGATTTCCATAGCAGCCACTTATATTTCCAAATGCATGTATTAAATTTGTGTAGCTTCAACCCTTGCATGGTCAACAATAATTTTTCTGCCCTCATGACAAGGACAGTGAAGGTTTATACTGATATTCTGATCCCAGAAGTGGACAGAAGCAATTCATGTCACAATTATTGATATTTAGCTCTACAGGTCCAGCAGTCATTTATACTAGAGTAGTAGGGGGCAACTTTTTTGGCAGGTGTGCTACAAATTAGCCCCAAACCATTCCCAAGTGCCACTCTGATTCCCTTCTCCTGCCCAATCTGCTGCTCTATCAGCCACTGTGCTGTCTATCCCCTCTTCAGTCTGCTACATCCCTCACAGAGGCTGCCTGTTCCACCTGTAGCATGCCTGGTGCAGGCTCATCACCTCTCTGCTAGAACTATTATCTGCATTGTGAAGTATTTGGCCTTCTGCCTTCATTTAAAGTGGATCAACGGCTCTAGTTATGACTGCTTCAAAGATCCCCACTAATAACAGGAATTATGTGCAAGTTAACTAATGGGACTGCAAAACAAGTCTGAAAATATTAACTACTTATGTAGTTAGGAGGTCCCAATGTCTCCCAGCCCAAGGATTAAGTATGTTCTTTCCTAGAAGTAGACTTGGTTAAAATAACTTTATTAGTATTAATCAGTCAATTAGTACTATCATCTGCCCATCACTGCACATAGCCACTAGAGGGGCAACACCCTTCTGGATAGAGTATCTGACTGGGTAATGGTTCCAAAGCTCTCATCTCTCTCCATCTGGAAAATAGAAATGCTTGCTTTTACCTCTGACTTTTTAGAGATTTGCTGATGGTTCTTTCGTATAGCATTTTTCCCTGGTAAAACAGCTACTTATCCCAACAGACCTCAAACTATTGAAATGGATGCCCCCCCATTCTATCACAGGAGAGCTACCAATAAAGTACAAGGTGGAGAAGCGAAGTTCCATAGTACCTTTTATAGTTGTGACCACTTACAATTTAAAAATCTGAAGGGAAACCTTCTTTGAATAAACTTAAATGTACAAACTTGACAACACAGTTAATGGAAGGAGAACAGAAGTTTGGCATTGTAGCTAATTTACAAAAATGTGTGTCTAATCTCTTTAAATAAGCAATTCTGAGTTAACCTCTTTCAAAACTGCAGGATTACTATAATATCATCAAGAAACCCATGGACTTGAGCACAATTAAGAAGCGTTTGGAACACAATTATTACACAGAAGCTACAGACTGCATTGAAGACTTCAAAACAATGTTCACAAACTGCTATGTGTATAACAAGGTAGGTAGATTATCAAAATGGCTTTATTGACCATCACTTCTATTAACAGAGAATAGAAACAAGTCTGAAAATATTAGCTATTTATGTAGCTAGGTTACGTTGCCACCATTTCTTTTTATGCTTTAGTGAAAACGCATTTCACTTTTAAAAGGATGTACCATATTTACCCAAATTCAAGACACATCTGAATTTAAGATGGACCCCTTTCTCCCCTCCTCCCCCTGCAATAATAAATTAGATTCTAGATGTGGAAAACTTATACTTTTTTTTTTATTGCAACTTTTCCATAGTTTAGGATCTAATATTTGGAGGGTCACGTTTGAATTAATTTCCCACCCTTTAACCCCTGTAGTGGGGCAAGCGGTAGCAGGAGTGGGGGTGGGATGGGCAGGTGGTAGTGGGGCAGGTGGCAGAAGTCTGATCTAACCCCTGCCCCTGCCTGCTACTCCTTGCATTGCCTGAACCTCTGAGTACCAGTCCCTTTCTCCACACACCCCTGCCCTTGCCCCCTGCTGCTATTTACTTTCCCTTTTTGCAGCTCCAGCTCCTGCTGGAGACCAGTACATGCTCTGTGTTCCTTGTCCCCAGCCTGGCCATGCAGCTCTCATGGTGTCTGTGGTAGCTTCAGTCCCAGCCCTGGAGTTAGAGCTGCCACTGCCTGGCTGGGCTGGGGGCAGAGGCAGTACATGTTCTGTCCTCCCTACCCCCAGATGGAACAGGACCCCAGCTGGAGCTGCAAGGTGGAGGTAAGCAGAGGCTACAGGGACAGGTGGGGAGGAGGCTGTGCCTGCAGCTCTGACCCTGACTCCAAGGCTGCAGAAGGCTGCAGCCATGGCTAGAGGCTTCCTTCCTCTGCTTGTACTTGAAAATAAGATGAGACTTCCCCTCTCTTTCTCCCTCCCCTCCCCATGTTAAGTAGTGGGGGGAATCTCATCTTAGATTTGTGTAAATGTGGCATTTGGTCTCTAGCATTTATTCATACTTAAAGAAACTAGGCAAAGTTCTACCTACTTCTCCTGTGGCGTCTGCATGAAGGCTTTGCCATTGCATCCACTAGAACACAGTTCTACACAACCCATTTAACTGATATTCAGAGCTACTATGTTTAAAGCCCACAGTCAACTATTACTAATGCTATGCTTTTTTTTTTTTTTTTTTTTTTTCCTGATTTAGATGCACTTTGTAATATAAAATAGCTGGCCAAGATCTCCAAGCATAAACAGCATATTTTGGTACTTACCAGCTAGTCTCAGTTATATCCTTGGAGCAGTTTTAAAGTGGATCACAATACTCTTCCTCACTGTGAGGGTGGGATGCTTAGAGAAGCACAGAAGGGAATTAGAAAGGTGCTCCAGGGTACAGTGGGAAAAACATTTAAGCTTTCAATATGAAGTTAGCTTCTACTGGAATTAGTTGGGAAGTCTGTAATCCCTTTCTTGTTTTTGGTGTGGCAACTTGCGTAATAAGACTATCCTATGTCTTGTATAAGAAGATGAACATCTAGTATTGTCTTATCTCCTATATACTGCAATCTACAAATTTTATATCTTGCAGCCAGGTGATGACATTGTGTTCATGGCTCAATCATTAGAAAAAGTATTCATGCAGAAATTGGCGCACATGCCACCAGAAGAGAAAGTGGTGATTGCCAATAAAGGGAAGAGAAAAGGAAAGAAACCAGAAGGTAAATACTAAGTACTACATTAATAGCTTAACAGTAAGGTGACTGTAAACTCAGTTACTCCTTTGTTTCTGTAAGGAGTTGCAGGGGAAGTTTGCATACAGCCATTAAGTCAAATACAATCGCCATCCTATGAACTTGCCACTCTACTTTCAAAGCAACATAAGGGTTGACATTATTATTGTACACTTTCATGTGACGACAACACTGTTAGGAACACAACAGGCAGGAAGAAACAATCTATTTCATGGTTTCTGGTAGCTAAATATCCCAATAAATCCTGTCAGTTCTAGCTAAACCAACTTAATATTCTGTTGATATGAGTTTCAAGAACAAGCTCTATTACTACTTAACAGTTCTAGTATTAGGGCTACAGTACAGTTGCAATATTTTTCTCGGGTCACTGTTCCTTTCATGAACACTGATCTTTAACAAATTAGGTAATATCTTTATGCTTGTCTTTTAAAATATGTGAACTGAGAGAGATAGAAAAGCTAATGTCTCTAGTAGATTCCTCCCCCAACATGCATTCCACTTTTCCAAATATTGTGAGATATTGTCGTGGGAGAAAACTCCCTGGTATCCGTTGTCTAGCTGTATAGGGGCCAGACAACACAGGTAAAGAATTAACTGCAGTTTATTTGCTCGAGCAAAGACCATAAACCAGCAAAGAGGCAAAATGGCCCCCGACTTAAGGGTGGGGCTGTCTTTTATACCTTTTCTAACAAAGAAAACTACAAGGTCATTAAATATGCAATACTTATGGTCATCATCTCCTTATATGGTGCATTACAAGTTTCCATAGTAATACTACATTAATCTATTCTAGCTAGTACTTTTCCAAAGGCAGAAATTAAGTAACGGTTACATGTTATCTTTTGCATTCCAATCTGTTCTGTTTTCAGCGGTGTCATCTTCCCTCCTTCTGTGGCCCCACTGATCTTATCTCATACCATGCTGTAGCTGGTCCTCAGTGCAAAGGCCTAGACAGAATTACGTTCGTTGTCTTTTTTCTCAGAAAATGGTTGACACAGTTAAAATGGTTACTTAACATAACATAAACAAAGGCTTAGCTATCATTCTGCCTTGTGGTCAGCTGTGTTGCTAGGCCACAGGTCATGCCTAGTATTCAGCTGCAAAGCTAATACTTTTCAATAATCTAAATTATTGTTAACCTAACAGTATGCTTATCAAAAAAACTATTTTATTTCGGGGTAATAACAAACTTTCCCATTACAATATTTAGTCTTAAGAGCAGATGAACGTGGGTCAAGAAACTAATTTTAGGGTAACATACTTGAACAGGTTAATCTTAAAAAACACGCGTGCACAAACAAAAACCCACTTGAATATGAGGAAAAAATGTGACTTGAGGTGGTGATTTTTTTTTTTCCCCTAAAAAATCAAATATCCACATTTCAAATGTAAACTAAGCCAAGCCATGTCTGTATAGCAATGTCTGTTCTTCTTTCTTCTCATGATGACAAAAATGTTTCTCCTCTTAAGTGAACTACATGTTGTTTTTGTTTTGTTTTTTTTTTGACGGCCTGACTCTTGCCTCTATAAAATGGCACTATTATGCTCTCTGAATATGACTCGACCCTTCCGAAGCTTCCCTGCTGCTGCTTTTCATTAAATGCTAATGAATATTTAGTGCATTTTTAAACTATCATACTCTTCTGCTTTCAGTGTACTGAATATTGCCAGAGGAAAAACATTTGATAGCAATTGCAACAATTACTTGGAATTCCAATGAAGCGCAAGGCAAATGCACAAGAGACCCTTTCCAGAAATGCCAATGTCACGTGCATCAACTCTTTTCGGTCCGTGTCCCTTGTTGGCAGATTGGATGAAGCTTACTCATGAGCTCTTAAGGCAACCCCCTTGAATAGGGTTAAGTGAAGCTACAGCACTCAGTTATTCCAGCTCCTTCTAGTGATCCTTTCTAGTCTCACAGCTGGTTGTATCTGTTTACTTTTAACAAGGGCATCTAATGACTTCTGGTAAGGTGAGACAAGACTGTGCACCCACTAAATATCATGCTACAGCTGTTTTATGGTGCAATGCAACCTTCATGGCTTCTGGTCTAATCAATGCTTCCTATACAAATCCAATTTCTGGATAACAAACCTACATCCACGAAAGGCTCTCACTTGAGGATCTATTGTCCAGTGTCTACCGTGCCAATAGTTTCCTCTCTCAAATGTATACATGCTGCAATCTGGCTAAAGCTTACCAGATGCAAAGTGTCGGAGCTCTTGGTTTGCTGGGCACTTCATTGCTTGTGAACCAAGCGCAGACTTTAATGATATTTGGTGCTAAAACGTGTGCTAAGAAAATTGAGCCTGCTGCAAATCGAGAAATACTACACAAGCATGATCCTTGCTAAATCCATGGACATCTTTCTCTAAGATAGAAGGGAAAACGCTCTCTTGTGCTAGACCTTTTCTCTAAGAGGAGAGCCAGCGAACTGTTCTACGAACCCCTCAAGAATAAACTCTTTACAATACTTGGGCTGGCTGTTTCTTGAAGTACTTAATGTTTTATCCTGATGGTAAACACTGGGTGCAGGGAGAGAGAGAGTTTGGTTCCAAGGGGGTAACCAGCTTTTTCTACCCTCTCAACCCTTCCCATTTCCATCTTCCAGGGAACATGGTGGTTTAAACGGAATGAATTTTCAGACTTTTTTTTAAATTCTTACAGTCACTGCTATAAATTCATCTCTTTCAGAGCTAATATCAAAATTCAGTTTTAATGAATAATCCATTATTTGCATAGCCATTCTATTCCCATACATTCTTCTAAAGGTCTCAAAGACCCTGTCTAAAATCACTAATGTACTGGGCTTATCTGTCTAGCTTGTTGATCACCATTACAATATTCTGCTGTATCATCACATACAGCTGAGGCCAGGGGCCTTGGTAGGCATCTGCTCTGGTCCTGTAAATCGGAGAAGCACTTGTTTCTATAAGGAAATTGTAAGGACAGCCACTTTGCCATCTAAGCACAATTTGAACTCATTGTTTTGAATTCCTCCCATAAAACATAGAAAGCTTAAATAAGTCAGCTATTATTTAAGAGAACTTATTTCTGGAACACTGAGCTGTTTTTAAAAATTCATCAAGGAAAGTTCTCACCATTTACAGTCTGTCCACTGACTGGTTCTAGTGCCAGTGAGGATTACAATAACTTTTGTGTTTCCACTCTTTATTCATAATAGCAGACTGTGGGGGAGGGACCTCTAATTTCCAGAATACCTGCTAAGTGTGTATCTTTGAAGAAATGATAGTTACAGATATTTATATTTGAAAACTATTAGTAGTTTGCCAACTTCCATTTTTCCTGTTTTTATAAAGAATATGTATACAGGTTACTGTGTTTGTTTGTTTGTTTTTGGTGTCTGGGTTTTTTTTTTCCTTTCCCTCTTCCAGGGCATATCTTGTGGTGGGTGTCTGTGACTACTACTGAACCAGAACTTCTGATCAGAAATGAATGCTGTTCAATTTGTTCTTCCATTAGGAACATAGACCCTAGAAGCATAACCTATGGCACTCTAGTATATACCACTGGCAGATAAGCATTAAAAATAAGGAACATTATCCTGCACATAATTCTAAATAACCATGTAAAATGAACAGCAGTCAAATGAGAGAAATAAATTGGTTTGGAATATAATTGAAAAATGTGTGCTCTTTTTTTTTTTTTTTTTTTTTTTTTTTTTTTTTTTTTTAAACTGTTTTGACTTTTATTAGGACCTCAGCAGACTGATCCAAGGTCTTCTGAGGCTAAGCAAAATCCTCTACAGAAACCACTTGAATGTCTTGAGCAATCTCAAGTTATGACTCCAGTGTCACAGAAGGGTACATCAGCATCTTTGTCTACAGCTCATTTGAGTACTTTAATGCCAGCCACAGTCCTTATAACAAAAGTAAGTTGCTCTGAATATTTTATCTCTAAAGGGAAGTATATCAATATTGCCCAAGGCAGTAGTCGGTACAATGTACCCCCCACAAAACAAAATGTAACCCCATTTAACATGAACAACTCATGTCCCCAGAGGCTGGGGGGGCATGGTGGTGGCTGGAGCATGGCGGTGGCAGTAAGCAGGGGAGCTCCTGCAGACGCTGCTGGTGCTGTTGGCGGCAGAGGAGGAGGGGGTGGGGTGGCAAGCATCAACCAAGGATCAATGAGCAGCCGCCACTGGCAGTGTAAGCAGAGGCCCGCGGGGTTTGCAGACCACCCGCCAGTGGCAGGGTGGTTGTCTCTAGTGGGTTATGGAATAGAGAAAATCCCACACAACTTACTGATTTTTTTGATGCACTGGCTGGGGAAATTTTTAGCTATTTGCACGATTTTCACAATGATTACACTCTTAATTCATACAACACAATTTTATTTTAAAATTCTTTGCTACGTATATAACGCTGCTTAGCTTTAAGAAATACCACAAACATTAAGAACACAATAACTACATATATCAGAAACAATGCTCCGAATGCACTTCCTTCCCAAACAATGATAAGAATTAGTATTACAAAAACAACTACAATTACAACTCAAAGTTAAATTTGAATCAATACTATTATTTTTCATAATATACTTAGTCCTAGAATTCCGAGAAACCAAACCCCCAGGTATACCTTCATTCTTTAGTCATGGTTTTAGGGTTGGTCCTCAGCAGTCAAAGGAACAAGTCCCCTTCTTTCAGTCCCTTTTCGGGCGCTCTGCGGCTTCAGCATGAACTAACAGATTCATGTTCACAGAGAGGGTGGTTCAGGTGATCAGTCTGATCCGGCCTACACTTGCGATTCTTCCTTCGTTGTTCTGCAAGTGAGGTTACCTCCAAATTGGGATAGTAGGTTACAGTTTCTATTGAGTGAGTTGCCGTCTTGGGCCCCTCCTACCCAAACCTGTCACTACTCCCAAATTTGGGCTCGGATCTTACTTGACAGATTCTTTTGCTTGGTAATCAGTTTCTTTTGTTGACTATTCAGTTACTTTGGGGAAATTCCTTTCTTTCCAATCTTTTCAAAGGCTCCTAGGGTTTGATTTCTCAGAATGTGGGATGTTTGCTTAAGGGTCATTTTTTAGGTTAACTTTGTTAAAGGCCTCTAAAGATAAAATTCAAGAGTTTGCTCAAAGCCTTAAGTCAGGACCTTCCACACGTAGGCCAAAACAATGGCCTAGATAAGAAGATGAATCTTGTCTTCTTCCTAAAACTGGCTAATGGGCAACTATTACGTTCAATATGACAGTGGTAAGCAGCAACCACCCACAGGTACTGTCAACTGTCAGCAATGCCTTTTTGTAGGGGGTGCACTGCCACGCTCAGGGGATGCACATGCACCCCCTACATGTTGCCCCTGCCGTTTAAAAAAAAAAAAAAAAAAAAAAAATTTTCAGGAGCCTAAAGATGCAGAAAGACATAAAAAAAAAAAATGCTGTGAATGAACAGAACCTGTATGTGGTAAGAAGCAAGAGACTTCTCCCATGTGCTAAACTAGCTGGTTACTAACCTGCCTCTCTTTGCTCCATTTAATGAGGAGATTGTCTTGTTCTAATCACTTGAAATATTCTGAGTAAAACTGCAAAACTGTGTTCCAGGTTAAAAAAGGTGTGAAAAGGAAGGCTGATACTACAACTCCTACTGCATTATTTACAGCAAGCAGTGAATTTTCTCCTGTACTTAATGAACCAAAAGTTGCTAAACCGTGTAGAGGAGAGAATGAATGTAGTCTACCAGAGAAGTTTCCAAAGCGAGATGTGCCAGATTCTCAACAGTCTCCTGAGGTGGTCAAAAAAGTTCGACTTTCAGAACAACTGAAACATTGCAATGAGATCCTTAAAGAAATGTTTTTGAAGAAACATGCAGCATATGCTTGGCCTTTTTATAAATCTGCAGATGTTGCAGCCTTGGGACTTGATATAATTAAATGCCCTATGGACCTTGGTATTATTAAGGTAAGTGGCTTCAGACTTGAATATATTTCTGGTTTTTTGGTCCCCTAACAAGGTATCTTAAGTGTAACCTGAAAACATGTAACAAACTTCCTCTTTTGAAAGCAATAAACAAGCACAGAGACTACATCTTTCTATACACAGTGGCTTATTCAAAGAATGTTAGCTGTTTTGTATTGTAGATGACTGACAAAACTATTTTTCTTGCCTGTAGGCTAATCCGATCTTAACTAAAATGAATACAGGATCCTAAATTACATTCTCTTTATGATTCAAGTGAGCTATGAGTAGAATTTTTATTTATTTATTTATTTATTTTCCTTGGCTGTATATAAATTTCTAGGGGCTATTTAAGGCTGTGTACAAATATTTAAATACTCAAGGAGAATTCTCCCAGGTTTGTTCTCCTGGTACAAAAACTTTTCCAGAGCTGCATGCACAAACATTTGAATGATGAGAGCCTGCAATGCTGACACTGCAGCTGGCATGTTGGGAAGGAATGGCCTGTGTGCACATCTCCATGTTCTGTAGGCTTCCTTAGGTGCCAGTAGTGCATGGGGGCAGCCCTGATTGGCTGACACAGACTGCCTGTGGTCATTCTGAATTTCCCTGCAGCACAGCATGGGGCTTGAGGGGAGTGTTCTGCTCTGCTGGAGCACCAGAGTCCTGGGTGACTCTGTCAACTTGCTGAGGGTGGGGGTGCTGGAGAACTATATTATTTTCTGAGACGAGGCACAGCATGGACAAACATTCACTCTCCCAAGAGTGGTTTGGTTTTTTTTTTTTTTTTTTGGGTGTTTTTTAAACCCTGATTGTTCACAGGTATTTTTGCATAGTCTTCTAGTATTTACTGTTTGAACCTGCCCGTTTTCATAATGTTACCTGAAAATGCAAAAGCCATGCATCTCAATTCTAGGTGCTACCTCTCCTTTAAATGAAGGAACAGCTTTAGACTTAGTTACTTGGCTACTATTAAAGTACTCCTATTTGCCCTTGTGGCAGAAAGGCCACCGTCTGTGTCCCTTTCCAGAGATCTGTCTCTGCCAGCATGAGAGGCTGGTGTTGCATTCCTCAGGGCGGAGGATCTTCCTCCCTGCTCACATGACAGGGGCCTGGTGCCTTGGGTGTGGGTTCTCTGGTCACCTGGGGCGGGGGAGGAAAAAGCCCAGCCCACCGGCCCAGGTAGCCAGTGATGCTTTTTCAGATTGGTTGGCTAGTTGCCAGCACTGGCAGCTTCGGTTGGACTGGGCTGCTGAGGTCAGAGAGTTTATTTAAAGCCCGGGGCCAGGAAGAAGGCAGCCATTAGCCATGCGGTCATCCAGGTGAATCTGAAACTGGCGCTCTCCTCATAACCGCATGCTCAAAGAGTGACCTGCCTTCAGAGGAAAACTCCAACCACCTCTGGATGATGCATGTGAGTAAGCTACTCGAGATCCGACTAGATATTTAGCTTACAGTAACTCAGATGCATGTTTAAACGGCTACCTCAGCCATTCTAGTTTGCTCTATGGGATTCCTCTGAGATTCCTCTGATATTGCTCTACCTTTTATCCCATTTTCACCCTGCCCCCTGTAATCAATAAAGTTCTCCTTTGTGACTGGTGTGGGAGACTTTTTGAGGGGTGGGTCTAAATTATGCTGAGGAGGCCCCTTAGGTCTGTGGACTAAGGGAGACTTTTTCTAATAAGCCCCTGACTTGGAAGTGCCCCAAGTGCCTGTATTGGGTCTAGTACCCACTGGACGATCAGGCCTGCGTTTTCCAAGGTGCACAGAGCCAGAATTGGGTCCAGAGCCTTGGATGGTGGCAGTGGGAACCCCAGGCTAGCGGGTGTGCTCCAGGGAAGGGTTCAGCCGAATGTGAGGCACCCCAGGGAGGGCACTCAGAGCCTGGAAGGGGGGCGGACGCAATGAGGTGGGCGGCTCAACGCAGGAGCGCCCCCTACTGGCCTGCCACAGCCCTCGTATAAAAAAACAAAAACAAAAAACCACACTGTAAGGGACTATATTAATTGGGGAAGGGGGGGACAAAATAGGTGCCTACTTCTGGTAGACTCTTGTGCCCTAAAGTTCCTTAGCTATCTAACAAATACCCTTTTTAATTGGGGCCAAATATTATTTAAAAACCTGAATTTAAATAAAGCTGTCAATTGCTCAGCTCTTTCTAGCCATAGCAGTGTGTGCAAGTGGGGTACATGCCCTGGCTGCTGCCAGAGGGGGGAAGGGAAAGCAGTGATGGAATTGAGCTAGAGAGTTACTAGCCCCTCAATACACACCTAGCACTTGCCTCAAAACAATGAACCTCCAGCTACTGAAGAAAAGATGTCACCGTTTTGCCACCCAAAATTGGTGTGTTAAATAGCCTCTTCACATGCACTTTGGCAGCAAGGAAAGGAGGTAACATCTTTCTTCACAGCAGTGAACCTCTGGCATGCTGCTCCTGTACCGTGTACAGCAAACTGTACTGGCCAGTTCTATGCATCTGTGCCAAAACATTTTCTTAGAGAATGTGCTGAAGTTTATTTTAAAGAAGGTACTGTCATCCTTAATTTTTTTTTTTTTTTTTTTTTATATATTGCAATACAAAAAATGCTATATTCAAAGCATGCAGTATAGGACACAAACAAAATGAAAGGCAAACTATTTCAAAAGCTAACACTAGTACTGAAAGGCTAGGTTTGTTTGTTTGTTTTTTTTACCCGCTTAGAATTGATTGGGTTAATTAATTAACAAAGCTTAATTGAACTAGCCAGGGACAGATCCAGGAGCATTACAGTGATGTAGTCATGCCCCCTTTTTTTGATGCCTGGTCCTTGCAAAGCAGTGGCAGCAGTATTTCTATTCAGGCAGCAGTGAGAGATTTGCTTGACTTAGTGGCTCATTTATAATCTACCTGATTTTCATCTAAACTCTTCATACTACAAGTATTAACAACCCTCTCCCTTTTTTATGATCTACTAGTCCAAGTCTCCTTTCTTCTGCAATTCTGCTGTCTGTGTTGCTGCTCCTCTAATGTAGCTTCTATATCACAGCCCTGCAGATCTGTTTAACTCTAGCTAAAAACAGTATTTCAACTGCGAAAACATTAACTTGGGTGAACATCAACTCGGGTATGGAAATGGCTTTTCAATGAAGCCTTGGATGTATTGTCAAGATCCTCAAGGCTACGTTTTGTTCTATGTCTTTTGGATTTACTTTTTGCATAGTTTGTGGTGTTATACGTTATATCTGATATAGCAAATGAATTAATATTCCAATAAAAATTTATATTTGCTTTTGCTTTGATCTTGAACTAAATAATATAACCCTCAACCCCTAGCATATTAGTAAAGCTTCTTGTTTCTTTTTACCTGGGGGGAAAAAAGTGTGTTGTGTTTTGTTTTGTTTTTATATATGGTGATGCACCACACCATCTGCCCCCCTCTTTTCAAAATCCTAGATCCACCCATGGAATCAGCTATCAGCAACATAAATGGAGAGAGAAGAACACATTTTTCTATATTTAGTTTTTGGAGCTGCTATAATAAGCTAACTCTACTAGTCCAGATAAAACATTGCTGTTGTAAGTTTAAGTTCTGGTTTTATTCTTCTTTTGATTGTTGTATTTTTTTTTTTTTTTTTTTTTTTAACTCACTCTAGAAGCTTCTCAAGTGTTGAAAGTTCCAGGAATGTACTGTGGAGCTCTAAAGCTGTGATCTCCTAAACTCTTCTCCTTTTTTGTAGAAAAAAATGGATAACTATGAATATAAAGATACACAAGAATTTGCTGCAGATGTTCGGTTAATGTTTATGAACTGCTACAAATATAATTCTCCAGACCATGAAGTGGTTGCTCTGGCAAGAAAACTCCAGGTGAGTTATCACTAGACAAACTTAATGCTCCCATTATTGGATCTCAATCTAAAGTTTCAGGTTTTTAAAATGTTAGCCTACCCAAAATAAGGAGAATCACTAGGTTCTTACAGGATTTGAACCAATAAGTCATTGTCACATGTCTTAAAGTAATATCTAGCCTCTAAAGCTTGTAAAACTCTTGATTTCTATTCTATAAAGAAAGCTGCCCCTCCTCCCCAACTGACATGATTCTGATTGTATGTTGTGTATGGCTTTGTTCTGTATTTTTTTGTTTGTTTGTTTGTTTGTTTTTTAAAGGATATTTTTGAGAGACAGTTTGCTAAAATTCCAGATGAACCTGTTGCAAAGCTACCTCTGTCACACTCCGCAACTGAACTAGTAAAAGCTTTTTCTACTGAAAGCAGCAGTGAAGACTCCTCTGAAAAAAAGTCCTCTTCTGAAGACTCAGAAGATGAAAGAGCACAGCGCCTTGCAAAGCTTCAGGAGCAAGTAAGCAGCAGTGTGTATGGCCATTACAAACTCACAGGCTAGGGACCATTTAAATAATCAAAAACTGGTTTAAACCTGTAATAGAACAGCTGTTCAGTGCACATAAATGAGTTTGAAAATGGCAAAACTGGTTTGAGATGCTACATTCAACCAGGTTTATCAGACTCAACTGATTTGGGTCAAACCGGCTTATGCAATGTCTGTCCCAGACACTTTGCTGGTTCAAGTTGAACCAGTCTCCTCCAGCATCCTGGTATGTTCTCTGAGCTGGGTGGGGCTCTGCTCCACGGTAGGGCTGGCCCCTCCCCTCTTCAGGGAGGGGGGGGGGGGGGGGAGGGGGGGAAGGCAGACTGCAGGCTGCTCCCCCCCTTCCCCCACTCCCTGTTAAGCAGGAATTTCCCCCTCCCCTCTGCCTTACATAGAGGTGTCTGTGTATTAGCTAGCAGACCACATGCTGGCTATGGTCTGCTGAATCAACAGGTAGCTGGTAATGTCCCTGTTTTCTTAATGGGGTGATCAAAAACTGAGTTGGAGGGTGATAAACACTTATCACTTACCAGTTCCCTGCTGGGCTAATCAGAGCACCCTGCTGGGTCTGGCCACATGCCCCTCAGCTCCCTTCTGTGGAAGGGACTGGAGGGCTGCTCTAGCACCCCCTGGTTTCTAGCCTGAGCCACTGCAGGCATGTGGTGGCATTTCTGGGATGTCTGTACAGTTACAAAACTTATTGATTTAGCCTTACCAAGTTAGACTAACCTGCAAAGATGGAATCAGTTTCAGCTCAGGCTCTTTGAATGTCTGTCCTTAGCTACAGTGTCTGGGCTAGCTCTCATTCATAGGTCGCCATTCTAAGTCCTAGAACTGCAAGCTAGTATGAAAATACTTTAAATATTGGTGTAGCATTTTTTTTTTTTTTTGTTCTCATGTGAAAGTCTGCCTTGTTACTTTCTGGAAGGCAATGGATTTTTCTAATGGTAGACTTTAATTTTCTAAATGATGATTTTGAAGCTTTCAGGAAATACATTTTTTACCTGCTAAGAGAAATCTTACACTGAACACTTTTTGAAAGAGGGGGGGGGGAAGTGCTTAAGTCTACCTGGGGTTGACTTGCTTAGTGATCTAATTACAATCGCCTCTTTCTTGTCAAAAGAAGACTAAAGCAGCTAATAAATAGTAAGATAAGCTGCTCAAGCTCCATTGCTTTGCTTACTCTACATCTTTTGGAGTCATGGATCTTGCTCTTGACTCTTCAATTAATCCATCCATTTAGCTCTCTTCCACTTTCTTCTAGCCTAGACTTTTTTTAACAGGCTTTCTGACTCCTAAAATGGCTTCACAAACCATATTGCCATCCTTCGTTAAATCCTTACAGGCACCATTGACCTGCACTTCTATCACTAGAATGACTTGAATATGAGTTGCCAATACTGTTTGAAATCTCATTCCTTATTGCTTGTGCTCATAATTAATTGTGATTAGTCTTAAAAATGGTTTCAAATCCATTCAGCTTAATGGTAATGTGAAACTTTTATAATGGCTGGCAAGCTCTACAAATAACTGAATCTTTTTTCTTTGATTGCTAGTGGGGGGAGGAGGAGAATATCTGCCTTTGGGTTCAAACAGTTTATCTTGGTTTAAGGTAAATTTGGTTGTGGGAGATTTTAGTGTTCATTTCTAATATCTGGGTAAAGATTTAATTTCAAAACAAAAATCACTAGTTTCAAAACAAAATGTTTCTTATTGTAGCACATTAGCTAAAAAGCTAGAAACTAATATAAAGCGCAATAATTTTGGCCACTGAATTTAATGGTTTGAAAGGCCCATAAATGGTACCAAGAAGCATGTATGCTGCTTGACTTTTATCTGGGTGTGTGTATAAGCATTTCTTTCATGGTAGAATTAGCCAGAAAATATGATTAGACTAGACTTACCCATCCTTTTAATAATCTCTATGTAGTATAAATAGTAGGCCCCTGCAAAATGGCTAATATTCGCTTCAGATTTGGCCAAGTCGAGGGACAGGGATTCAATTTAATGATTTGAATCGCTGTCCAAAATTGATTCAGCCACCACTGAATCAGCCAAATCTCCAAATCGAACAGGCCCCAGCCCCATCAATGGCTGCCTGGCCCCAGCATCCCGGTACTTTTTTAAAGCCCTGCACTCACCGGCTTCTGCCAGGCAGGGGGCGATCCCCACTGCCTCACGCTGTATTGGGGGGGGCTCTGCCATGAGCCCCCAGAAGCCCTAATTGCCACTGAAGCAGTCAGTGAGTGGGGGCATTTTTTTAAAAAGTGCCAGGACGCTGGGGCTGGGTGGGGCAGCCTTTGGCAGGGCTGGGAGAGCAGGTAGAAGACTGGGGGACCAGGCAGGGGGTGGGGCCTGGCAGGAGACCCCTCATGGTCCCCTCCCCACTCCTCCCGCCTGCCCCTACTTGTTGGACCCAAACTCCGTACCAGCTCCCTGCGGCGGTGAGTGGAGACTGCCTGGATCTCTTCAAATCTTTTTAAATCGATTCAAAGCCTCCAAATCGTTTCAGACCTCTGTTGATCTCCTGATCTGATTTCAGATTCAGCTGCTGAATTGAGCCAAATCTCCTCTGAATCAAATCGGCAACCAAAGTTTTGCACAGCCCTAACAAATAGAACTATTTTCAAGGTCTGTTCTGAATGCTTTGTCTTGGTTTAAATATGGCTGTAAAAGGTCAACTTCACGGTTCCATAGAATGAGGAGATGCATGTGGACAAGCCCACATACAAATGTACCTGTTCACAAAAACATTCCTTTGACTTTTTTTCATGCAAGTCCCTCCCCATTTATAAGAGCTGGGCTAGTCAGAGCATAAAAAGGTTAACATTAATAAACATCCTATTGGTGCCATTCCAACTGCCAAAAGTCTCCAATGACTTCTAGGGCCAGTTTCACCCTATGCAATAATGTCTGTAATGATTTCAAGCAGGTTTTTCTATCTTCCCTTGACAGCTTAAAGTTCTTCAACAACAGTTGCGGGCTTTGACCAAAACATCTTTCCCCAAACCCAGGAAGAGAAAAGGAACGGCTAAGAAAGAAAAGAGAGGAAGCAAGGAAAAATCTAAAATGAAAAATGTGACTCAGAAAAAAAAGAAGATAAAGTACACAAAAAAATTGAAGAAAAAATTGGCGTTAAACCTGTAAGTGTATAGGATTGTGTGGGTGTCCTAAATTATTTTAAATTGCTGTCAATGCACTAACTTTTTTTTTTTTTTCTGCCTCTCTCTCAGTCAATCAAAAAGAACCAAGCAGCAAGTTTTATTGGCGCACAAGTCAGAAGATGAGGATAGTGCCAAGCCTATGAATTATGATGAAAAAAGACAGTTAAGTCTGGACATAAATAAACTCCCTGGAGATAAACTTGGAAGAGTAGTGCATATAATACAGTCAAGAGAGCCTTCACTGAGAAACTCTAACCCTGATGAGATAGAAATAGACTTTGAAACTTTAAAAGCATCAACACTTAGAGAACTAGAGAAATATGTGGTGGCTTGCTTAAGGAAAAAAACAAGAAAACAACATGGTATGTGTGTACCATGAGTAAGCTACATAATCATTCTGTGATTGGCCAGAACTTATCAGGTTTGGATGTACATTTTAACTGTTCTTTCTTCATATACAGCTAAGAAACCAGTAAAGTCAAAAGAAGAACTTAATTTTGAGAAAAAAAGAGAGTTAGAAAAGAGGCTTTTGGATGTCAATGGGCAACTAAACCCCAAGAAGCAAAACACCAAACGTAATGGGCTCTTTTACTGTAGTGCTTTCCAAAAGCGAGGGGAGGGAGTGTGAGGCAGGGGTGGCTTTGAAATGGTATTTCCTTTATCAGGTTTGTGCTCCATGATGTAACTGATGAGACTTTCTTTCTGGAAATGCAAGAAATTCCTAGTCACTGGATTTTACTCACTTTTGAGTTAGCACAGTGTTTTCTGTGTTGGGTCAACTAAAACACAGCAGCTGTTTAATCTATCCTTCTTTCCTAGATTTTTAAGAAATCAAAGAAAGTAACTTTTATGCCTCCTGGCTTTAGCATCTCTAATCATATGGGGTGTCAGCAAGACAGGCTATACTGCATATAGCCTGTCATCCTGTCTGTTTTGACAATGGCCGATAATAGATGCTTCAGAAGTTCTTCTGTGCAGTACAGAAATTCAATTTTTAATCTCTCTCCCTTTGTACTGATATCTTCTTTCGGATGGCAAAGACCTTTAAAGTGTCTGTATGTGCTGTTTTGAAAATATCCACTAGGGTCTTCAGAGGGTACCCAGGGTGGAGTAGAGTCCAGTGTGACTCCTATGGGAGTTCAGGAGACCCTCTTTCCATCCAATCTGTAGTTGCATTTCTGTTGGTAAGTCTAAAACTAAGCACACTGGTAAGGAGTCACACCTAGGCAGAGGCCTATTAATACCAGTCCCTCCAGCACTCCTCATTGGAATAAGCCTTCACTTCCTTCTTTGAAGGAATCCATGTCAGTCATGAAGTATACAATGAAATGTATTGACACCTGCTGTGTTGGTGCACTGCACTGACTTCCAATAAACACTTTAAAGCATGTGTTCAGAAACTGACACTACTTCATTTTTCCTTTCCTTTGACTCACAGGCATGATTCCAAAGGCTTCTGGTAACTCCAGCTCTCAAGTCATGCTCCCATAACTGAGTAATCGGCTTTTGCTACTGTCTGAATGATGGCATGTTGCCTCTTATGGTAGCAAAGGTATTCTATATCTTTTCCCATCTTTAGTTAGCCTTGCAGTGTCACTTCAAAAGTTCTGGTACCCTGTGCATTGTTGCAGAAGTCTGTCTTGCCTTGTAGGCCTGATAGCAAGTGCCTAAACTTAGAGGTCCAAGTTCAGCCAAAACAGTTGCCTATTTGAGTACCAAACCTTTGGAACCAGGTAGCTGAACTGATAGGGCCTTTCCCCAAAACAGACTTACCTAAATATATATATTCAAGCTATATATGCTATTTGAGCTAATAGAACTTAAATGGAATTAGCTTGGCAGGCAGATCTTGCTTGGTTTTTGAGTTCAATACACATCTAAATATACACTAAAGCTCAAATGAGCTTTTCATTTGAGCTTTAGTTAAAGCACCCCTGCCACCATTTTTCAGTGTGGGAACACTGATGCATAAGATGCTCCAGGCGCTTTAATTGGATCAGCTTTTGGAGCTGCTCTAATTTAAAGCCCCCTTCTCTCCCTGGAGCATGTGTGTAAATGCCCCTAGTGTCCAGTTTTGGGCCCTATACTTTAAGAAGGATATGAACAAATTGGAAAGAGTCTGTGCAGAGCAACAAAAAATGATTACAGGCCTGGGATGCATGGTTTACGAGGACAGACTGAAAGATTTAAGGTTATTTAGTCTGTTGAAAAGAAGACTGGGGGAAGTAGGGATTTTATAACAGCGTGATTTATAGAGTAAAGCCTGTGGCTGTAGGGGACAGGACTAAGACCAATGGCTTCAAGTTTCAGCAGAGGAAATTTGGGTTGGAGATCAGGAGGAACTTTCTGACCATGAGGGTGGTAAAGCATTGGAATAGTCTGCCTAGAGACTAGCCATTCCTGGAAATTTTTTCCAGGTTGAACAGGCACTTGAGTGGGGTGGTATAGTCAGGGATGATCCTGGCTTGAGCGGGGGGCTCGACTAGTTGACCTTGAGGTCTCTTCCAGCCATACTTTCCTATGGTCTAGGGTTGCTCTTAATGGACTCCCCTTCTCAATAAGGGTACATCTGTTATATCAATATGCAGACTTCTTTTCCCAAATCTGACACTCTGACCAAGAACACAGCATACAAAGGAACATTATGCAAAATTTGCCCTCAAAACTATCAGTATTGTGTAAGCAGATGCCACAGTAGTAAATGCTGCACTTTTTAGCTGCTGAAGTGGAAACTTCTGATGAGAGAGGTTGTTGCTGTTCAAGCTAATAGAACTTGTTTAAATAGAATTAGCTTGGCAGGCAGATCTTGCTTGGTTCTTGAGTTCAACACACATCTAAATATCTTTGATACTGTAAGAAAAGACTACATACAATGGGTGGATGCAGTTAAAAAAAAAAAAAAAAAAAAAAATCATTCATTGGAGCACAGATTTTTTTTTTTTTTTTTAAAAACACTATCGGTCTCTTGAGCAGGAAGAATAACCAAAGAGTATATTTACTACTAGAAGTACTTCTAACTTACAGGGAACAGAAGAATCCTCACTGCATTTCACTTGAAAAGCAGTGCTTCTCTCCAAAAAAGCATTTGAGACAGTGGAAGGGCTATTTAACTTGAACAACAACTAAAGCTAATTCCATAGCTACTTCTTTCCAGGCAAATCTTTAGGTAATGTACTAGACCCATGCAAGTTTGAAAATTGCTGACATAGAGGGGAAGAAACAAAGTTCTCAAACTAAAACAATCAAGTGTAAAATGGGTAGACGGAGTACTAGGTGGCATTAATTTGTCTTGATTTACTTTTCTAGCCAGAAACCAGTGCTATTAAAGCTGGCATGGCAATTCCTATTCTTCTAAAATGTGAACTGTTGATTTAATCTAGTACCAATACCAAATTGCTCTTGGTAATCTCAACCCCTGCCCCCCAAGAATCCTGATTCTAGCACTACAGATGCCAAAACTCCCAAGTGTCTATATACGTGTCCCAGGGTGGGGTGAGGGTGTTTTTTTAATTAGACAGCCACTTTAAAATGTTATCACATGTATTCAGCATCCTGTGTTCCAAAATGGGCATGGGGGTGCTTTAACTGAAGCTTGTTTGAGTTTAACTAAAATGCTAATTGGAACACTCCAGTCAACTTGATTTAATCCTCAATTCTAATTGGAATGCATTGGTGCATGTGTATAGGCATAGATCTTTGCTTGAAGTTTGCTATTCTAGAATTGTATCTGTTCTAAAGAGTAAGGCCTTTCCTCTATAACTTGCCCGTCTTTATTCTCTGCAGTGTGAGGTCTTTTCTTTTCTTTTTTATGTTTAGAAGGAGCCAAAACAATGGCCAGAACCTGGAAAAGTTAGTCAGTCCCATGGAGCACAAACTTTAGGTGTATGGCTTTCTATTTCTGGTTTATGTAGTCATAAGACTTTGCTACACTGTCTAACTTCCCCTCTGTTCTTGCAGCTGAAAACAACACTCTGCCAAACATTATGGGTGGCCCAAGCCGACTAAGCGAGAGCAGCAGCTCCTCTGACTCTGGCAGCAGCAGTGATTCTAGCAGCAGTGATTCTAGCTCCTCATCAGATAGCAGTGACTCGGAGTCAGGTCAGATCACCTCACTACATGGCTATACAGACAATTCACCTATCATGTGAGAATCTGGGCTTGTTTTAGATTTTTACCAAGAAACTGTGGCCACCACTAAACCTGCTTGCTTTTTGTTTCGGGCAGTGCTATAAAACTGAAATACTAGGCCTTTTCCCTTTTAACTTTTTTCCTTTCTCTCTCTCTCTCTCTCTCTTTTTCGAGTCTACTTTTTAAAAAAAAAAAAGGAAAATACATTTAATTGCTAGATGTTTTCATGCCTGAATTCAAAGCATCTAAAGTGGTGTTTACAGCCTTTTTTGTTTTTATTTTTAAAAAGGGTTAAATCTAACTTTTCTTAAAAGCAACTTTCTTGGATATAAGATGCACTCTCCTTCTTTTGACTATAATTCCATTTGTGTGGGTCTATAACAAAACAGCAAAATAAACCACTCAAGAAATACAGGATTTGTAATGGGATTTGAAAGACTATGTAAGCTGCTATGGAGGAATGAGAACAAATAGTATACCTGTATCTTGAACTATAACTTTTAATTTTGAAATAGTTTATGATAATTTTTTGAGTGTTATCAATTAGTATGACTTCCAAGAGGTATAAATTCCTCTTTGGAGGAGGCACATGAATGAGTGTTAATCTTGATGTTGTTGTTTTGTGTTTTTTGTTTTTTGTTGTGGTTTTTTTGTTGTTGTTTTGTTTTTTTGTTTGGTTTTTTTTTTTTTTTCTAGCAGCTCAGTAAAACTGTGTAACATGCTTTAGAGTTTGAAACAAATGCATGGTCTAACCTACATCCCATAAGAATGTTAAAACATAAGCAGTGTCATGCTGGGTCAGGCCAAAAGTCCATTTGTCGCAGCATCCTGTCTCTTACAGTGGCTGTAATTTAGTGCTTTAAATGTGCCCTGTTCATATGCTCTCCTTCTAGAGTGATCCATTCCCTGTCCTACCATTCCTGGCCTCCACATCATTGGCTTAGGGTTGTCAGAGGATATACAGCTGGCTATTCTTGATGGTTCTCGATGGGGCTGTCCTCCATGAATTGGTATAGCCATGTTCAAAAATGAATGGAACAATCTGCCTCTGGAACTTCTTGTAGCAATGAGTTCCACAAATTAACTGTACAGTTGAGTATAGAAATACTTCCTGTGGCTTTGGTTTGAGTTTTTTTGGGGGGGAAGGGGGGTTGGTTGTTTAAACCTGTTACTCCTTTTTAATGCAGTGGGTGCCCCTCAGTTCCTGTATCCTGGGACTTGGTAAAATAACAATTCCCTATTTGTGTTATCCACACTTTATTTCATGATTTCGTAGATCCCTAGTAGGGTAGCGTGAAACAGCTATGTTTTGGTTTTGGATTCAGATTCGGCTGTTTCACAGGACAGTGATTCTTTTTGGAGTTTCAGATCACTGTTCCATTTCAATTTGGCCTAATCTGTTTTGGAGTTTTGACGCTGTATTGGTGATTCGGCTATAATGGAGAATCACTGAAATGCCTATAACTAACTTTATCATTTGTTTCCTGATTCGGATGAAAACTGCAGGGATGGTAGCCCCTTCTTAGGCCATGATGCCTGCCAGGTTTTAAGGAGATAGGTGCAAAAACTGCACCTCAAACTGTTCAAAACAAAATTCATGACGTGTTAAGGCACAAGGGGATGAAATCAGCCAGAATGGTAGCATGTAACAGGGCCTTCCTGGTGCTGGTTAGATCTCCACCCACCCACCTGTTTCTGGGCCAATTACCTGCCATGAATGATGGAAAACTGATTCGGACGTTTCCCAGGTGGGAGGCTGCCTATTTGGTGACTTGGGGTGACGTCCATTCCACAGCTCCATACCTCCCCTAACACTGTGGCCCACTGGCAATGTGTAGTGGGTGCACATGCGCCCCCTGAGATTGGTGCATCCCCTGAAAAAAGCACCGTCTACAGGCAGTCACCACTTACCACCCCGTCCCTTGCCACCAACACCACCGGCGGCATCTGAACTGGTGGTCACTGACCACCAGTTAGCACTTGCCACCCCATCCCCTGCTGCTGACACAGCTGCAGCCACTTGTGGGAGCTCCCTGCTCACGGCTGCTAGCACTGCCTGCAGGCAGTCGTCATGCTACCCCAGCCAATGGGGGCATGCATTGTTTATGCTGTAGCCCATGCCTCGCACACTGAATCCTTCACCCCCTCCAGCTGTCGTCTTCTCTCTGGGACCTTCGGTTCCCTCTTAGGCCCTGGCCCCGCCTTCAGGCCAGTCAGAATCCCAAGCCTCCTGCTCTGGGCATTCCTCGTGGTGGGCCCCTGACCCTTTGACCCCGCTCTGGGTCCTGACCCCAGCACAGACCAGTCAAGGGTACCTCTGATATCTTTTAGACCAACTGAATAGATGGAGAAATATATCTTAGTGAGCTTTCAGGCTTAAAAACCCTTAGTCAGGCTGAGGAAGCATCTAGTTGGTGTGTGTGTGCTTTTCCTGGATGGAATGAATAGTGGAGAAGCCAGAGGCTGGCATGCAATGCAGGCAAGAAAGCCAGTCAGTGAAAATAGAAATTGAAGTGTTGGGGGTGAGACACAGACTGAGTGGGAAGGGGGATTTAGCAGGTGAAAAGTGGAGAGGTCAGGCAAGTTATGACTCCCCAGGTACATCTAGTATGTCATAAATCCAATGTCTATATTGAGTTCATGAGTTTCTGTATCTAGAAGGTTGATGAAGTGCAGTTCATAGGCTCATCTGTAAAAGGTGGTTTGTAAATTCAAACAAGCACTGAACCTGGCCAACCTCGTCACCAAAAGCAAACTTCCTACAGCCCAAAACATACCAAATGGATCCAGATCGTGCCATGACAAGAAATGCAAAACCTGCCAACATACTAATCCAATCTATTATAGACAAGAATACCCAACTACTTGTGGGGGCACATTTCTCACAAGAAAGCCACTCTGTCTCCAATCTCTCAGGCCTGATCCTCAAAAGGAATTTACAAACAACTTTTCACAGACGAGCCTGTGAACTGCATTTTATCAACCTCCTAGATACAGAAACTCATGGACTTGGTATAAACACTGGATTTATGATGCACTATAACCTGCCTTGCATCCAACTCCCCAGGTACCTCTCCACTTTTACCTGCTCAATCCCTCACCCCCTGGCATCTCAATTTATGTTTTCACTTACTGGCTTGCCAGCCTGTGGCTTCTTCACTATTCATTCCATGCAGGAACAGCAGGGGGCCTTCTCAGTGTGGGTGAGATCTCGGCCTACCCTCCTGTTTCTGGGCCAGCCAGCCAACCACCTGCGCCTCTTCTTCCTGCCATGCCTTGATGGAAAAGTGATTTGGATTTTTTCCAGGTGGGAGCCTACCCATTTAGGCCCCTGATGTCTTGGGGTGACAGCCATTCCACAGCTCATACCTCCCCTAATGCTGTGGCCCATGCCTCGTAGGTGGCATCCCAGGCAGCTATGCTCACCTAGAGCCTCATGGCTCCACTGCAACCAGCAAGCCTCAGGCCTCTCGAAGATCTTACAGGTCTGGGCTTTCCCTAGCCAGGACAGCACTTGTGTGTGATGGCTGGAGGTTACAAGGTGCCTCCTACCTGCCTTTTACCAGGGAAGTTTGGGGGTTCTGGCATTTCTTGGGGGCTCCCACGCCACTGGCAGTCCCATCAGGCCTCCCAACCTGACAGGGTGCCGTTTTATGTCATGCTGAGGACCTGGGCCTCCTTTTCCATAGCCCCAGCCCACACTTCCAAGTTTGTCCTGGCACAGGAGCTCAGCAGGGAGATGTTCTTCCCCTGCTGGCTGGTGATACAGTGAGTGCTGCCTCCAGCTCAGAGAGAGAGAGAGGCATTTAAATGGTTTAAAAAAAAAAAATGGGAATGGGTGCAGGTAGAGTGAGGAGGGTGGCACTCATTCCGTCTCCATGTGGAGCTTGGGGAACCCCAGCAGTGGGAGGTTCACCTCAGAATACCAGCTGCTCCACCGAACCAGGATCCAAGGAGGTATGGTGTGGTGTCACAACATGCCCAACAATGCTGAACACCCTCTTGCTCAGAACACTGGTTGGTGGACAGGATGAGTGTTCCCAGGCAACTGTGACCAGATCCTGCTACATCTGGCTGTGGCTTGCCCAGTAGGCCAAGGGGTCAAAGAGCAGTGGTTCCGTGTCCTTGGCGAAATAGCACCAAGACCTCAGTGGCTACCTATCTGCCCAGTGTCGGGTCTGGTGCCTCTGGACCCCAATGTGGAAGCCATGCCCTTGGCAGTTCCTGTGGTGGAGAAGACTGGTTGGTGAATGGAGTGCTGGCATGGGAAAGTGGATTCCCACCTTCCACGTCCCTCTGCCTCCCTGGGTCTGTTCACCAGCACCTCCATCCAGTGATCTGGACGGAGTTTGTTTCCCCGCAAGTCCACCTCCAAAACATTCCAAAACATTTCAGATAGTTTTGTTTGGTTTTAGATTTGGTGTTTCGGGCACCAAAACTGGTTGAAACGCCTCCAAAATAAAACAGCTGCCAAAATTTTGCACAGCCCTAATCCCTAGCATGTGTTTTGTTTTTTGTGTTTTTGTTTTTTGGTTTTTTTTCTTTTCCTACTCTTTGACTCTAAGTTTTAGAAGAGAAGGCTGAGTCTTTTAGCCTCTCCTGGTACAGCATCTCTTCTATATGCCTGATAATCCTCGACTGTCTATATAGCTTTTCTAATTCCACTTCATTTTACTTGAGGATGTGGAGACCAGAGCTGCATACAGGAGTCAAAATGTGCATAATATGGATTTTATATAGTGGCATGATGAGGTCATCAGTTCTTTTCTTAATGACTCTTTATAACTTTTTTGGTCACTGCTGAATATTGAACTGATGTCCTTCTGTCTATCTTGCTGCTTCTCCCCCCATTAGGAAAATACTGGAATGCTGCACTCTTTTACAAAGCCTTAAACCCTCTCTAATATGGAATTTAAATGGCATTAAAGAGATTAGTTGCATGTACAGCACGTAACTCATAGGGAGAACTGGCATAATGTTTTTGAAGACTGTATGTTGGGGTACAAAGGTGAAACTTATCCCATGTTTTGGCTTGAGGATATTGGAAGAAATGTTCTGAACCAATGCTTTCAAGCAAAATGCTTATACTTTTCAGTGACTTTACCCTCTCTGAGGTCTGTTTAATGTTGTTGTATTTTGCCTGAAACTTATCTAAATATCCCAATTATGCAGTTGGTCTAATGGATCACCTACAAAAACCCTTATAGCTTTCTTGTACCTTCTTAGGTGGTGGGTATTTACCACTGTCTCTAGTGGGTTATGGAATAGAGAAAATCCCACACAACTTACTGATTTGTATGATACACTGGCTGGGGAAATTTTTAGCCATTTGCACAATTTCACAATGATTACACTCTTAATTCATACAACACAATTTTATTTTTAAATTCTTTGCTACGCATATAACACTGCTTAGCTTTAAGAAATACCACAAACATTAAGAACACAATAACTACATGTATCAGAAACAATGCTCCAAATGCACTTCCTTAAAACAATTACAATTGCAACTAAAAGTTAAATTTGAATCAATACTATTATTTTCATAATATACTTACAATCCTAGAATTCCGAGAAGCCAAACACCTAAATATGGTTTCATTCCTCAGTAGTACAATTTAATGGGCTTGCCTCAGCAGTACGGTTCAATGAGCTGGCCTCAATACTGATAGGACTAAGTCCCCTTCCTTCAGTCCCTTTCGGGCGCTCTGCGGTTTCAGCGTGAACTAAGAGATTAGTGTTCACGGAGAGGGTGGTTCAGGTGATCAGTCTGATCCGGCCTACACTTGCGATACTTCCTTTGTTGTTCTGCAAGTGAGGTTACCTCCAAATTGGGACAGTAGGTTACAGTTTTTATTGCGCGAGTTGCTGTCTTGGGCCCCTCCTACCCAAACCTGTCACTACTCCCAAATTTGGGCTCAGATCCTACTCAACAGATTTCTGCTGGGTTCAGTTTCTTTTGTTGATAATTTAATTACTTAGGGGAATTTCCTTTCTTTCCAATATTTTCAAAGGCTCCTAGGGTTTGATTTCTCGGAACCTGGGATGTTTGCTTAAGGATCGTTTTTATGTTAACCTTGTTAAAGGCCTCTAAAGATAAAATTCAAGAGTTAAGACTGAGCAAAGTCAGGACCTTCTGCACGTAGGCCAAAACAATGGCCTAGATAAGAAGATGAATCTTGTCTTCTTCCTAAACTGGCTAATGGGCAACTATTCCAAACATTCAAACTATTACATTCAATATGACAACCACATCATTAGATATAAGCAGGATCTTGGTGGTGGAACCTGAAGGTCCAGAATTTGGAAAACTAAACCAACGCTGTATTTGATAGTTTTGAACATAAAGTTATGACCCCTGAGGTTTTTTGTGCTAAAAATTTTTTTTGCAAAGTTTTGAAGATATTTGTTCATCCGTGTACTTTAATTGCTGTGTAATCTAGGTTGCAAATACTGCATCAATTGAAATTCTAAAGGAGTCTTGCTGCTTCAGTCAAAGCTTATTCACTTCTTACTTGATAACATGGATTTGTTTCATTCCTCACAGTTTATTTTACTTTAGGAAAATATTTCTTTATTAATGAATGACTGGAGCCTGGAATCTTCTGAACAAGAATGAGTTATGGAAGCTGCATTGGCTTAAAGAAACCCCAAATGCAAGTGTCGCCAAACATCCTTTTTAGCTTGAAATTTTGTGACCTTATGTTTCCTCCAGCAAAAATGTTGATCAATAACAAGATTATTTGGAGTGGTTCTGTTTCTTTTGTTTTAAAGAAGCAAAAGCTGTTCAGTTGCCTGTTGTCAAATTGGTCACTGAATTGAGTGGTCTTGGGGTTAAGGAGCAAAAGTGCTGAAGAGCACTGTCATGGAGGTGTTCTAACTAGTCCTTTTCCACCAGAGCCAATGAAATGAAGGTGCACTAAAAGCTATATTCTCAGGGCAGGGAGGCAGTTGGGTAGATTCTCTAGAGCAGGAATAGACTGCTGGAAAATTGTTTTCTGAAGTGTGTGGGGCTGAAGCACTGGTTGGGGAGAGAGTGCTATATGCGTCCTGCTAAGAGTCTGGGTAGTGTTGCAGTCCAAAGGTTGGCCCTGATAAACTAGTCACCCAGATGCTTTACCAGTGCCTACAGTCCCCAGCATAATCCAAGGAGCATAGAAAGCATCTCAGAATACCATAACCTTATCTCACTCAGACTCTTGCCCTTTTTGTGTGTGTGTGTGTGTGTGTGTGTGTGTCCTTTTCTACAATGCAGGAGCCAAAATTAACTACCACAAAAGTCCTGTTCCTGCAAAAACCCGTGTGTGTGTGTGTGTAACTGAGCACAGGAGCAAACTCCATTATGAAGGACATCTCACAGTGCATAAAGCTAAGCTCTTCAGGATAGGGAGATGCCTCTTCTGTTTCTTGAGTGCCTGGAGAAATAGGGTTTGGCTTTCCAGGTCCTATCTAAACCCAGACATTTAGCATGTGTGAATAATGTAATCTGTGGAAATAGCTGCATTTCCTATTTCACTGTTTATAATTACAGAAATATGCTCAAAGCAGAACAGCTCAAGTCAAAATGGCTTAACTTCTAACAAGCAAATGAAGGTAAACCTGCATTTTTTTTTTTTTCTGTTAGATTCAATATTACATTCACTCCAGCTTTAAATGCTTTGCCACTCACTTGCTACCTACTACTGTATGATGTCAATGGTTGGGGTAGAAGGCTGAGTGAGATTTTCATATCGGTGGCTTCTTTGGCTGACCTCACTTGCAGTAAAGAGTGGTATGTGTGTTTACCATAGCAGTGTGAAGTCTAGGTAGATCTGTGCCAGCTGCTGGAATGGGAGCAATGATAGGACTTTTCTTCTTTTGAACAGATGCTTTTTAAGTTTAAATTTTAAATAAACGATGACTTGTTGCTTGTTCACCGGGAGGTAATAATTAATAAACCATGGGAGGTATAATCACATTCTATCTTAGCCATAAGCTTATTACAAAAAGTCTTTTTAAGCAAATTAGTTCAGATACAGTGACAGTTAAACTAACTATCTGGAATGCTGAATGCCATGCAAGCAGTGAGCAGAACTAAAGTGGGAACAGTATAATGTGAGACTTGTCCTGACTCTCTCCCCCTTTTTCCCCCATGCATATTAATTTCATGTGCCAGTGTAACCACCTGTTACGGTTCCCACTTCCTATGCTTGTCCTCTCTACTCCCAAAAGACCCCCACTGATGGGGAGATCTAGTATGTCAGAGTAAGTTAACAGAAAAGCTTTTGACTGCATTCACATGAGCAGGGGCATGCCTTTGCAGTGGCACAAATTTATGCTACTACTTTGTGCTGTGGTGCATACCCCTGCTCATGAGGTTTGCAGTGGGATGCATTGTCCTGCTGCTCCATGTGCTGCAATGGGGGCTGGCTGGGGCACAGGGTGCCTCAGTGTGGGATTAGCCAGCAGGCAGGGATTTTTTTTGCTACCAGAAAATCCCAGTAACAAATTTTTGCCCCAGAGATGCTAATTAGCAGTGCTCTGCACAGTTTATTGTGCAACATGTGTAATCACGTGTACGTGTCTGAGGCAGATTCCATTTTGGTTGGGTGTTTGGTTTTTTTGGGTTTTTTTACTTTTAGAAAAGCTTGAGTGGCTTTTCTAAAAGAAAAACCTTGATAACCCCAAAATATCCTTTTCATTGTTAAAGCAGAGTACCTGCCTCCATCTATGTTTCCAGCTACAGAAACTTACTTTGCCACTTTTTTTTTTATTCAGGAGCTTGTTTATCCATCTTTGGGGTGGGAGGAAGCGAAAGGTATTTTGGAGCAAATCTTTCATTCGGAGGCTTTGACCCTGAAAAGAATACGGGCATGCTTAAGACACTGGAAACAGCTTTTGCTTAGGTGGTGTTCTCTTCTGCTCCTTTAGAAAACAAATACAAAACTACAGAAAGATGCTGCTAGACCACTAAGTTGGACTTTGTACTAGATTTGAGTTGTTGTCCACAACCTGCTGTCATGACTGAAATAGGATGTTTGATATACTGGGCGTTTCTATATGTGCCTTAACGTGCTTTAGTTAATATGCATTAAATCTAGTACTTCCATTGTGCATTTTCCTAGTACCTCACATTAGCCTGTCTTAATGCGCATTAATTAAAGAGCACAGGGCACTTTTTTACACATGCTCCAGAGGGGCGGGGGGACACTTTTTAATTGGAGCAGCTCCGAGCGCCACTCAAGTGCTGCAGCATCTTGTATCTCCATGCTTAAATGGCAGCTGGGGCTTGTTTGACAAGCTTTAGTTCAAGCACTCCCACCATCATTTTTATGCATGGGGATGCTGAAAGACAAGAGGCTGCTGCAGCACAGTAATTACCACACACTGCAGCAGACTCATTTTTATCAAGTCTGCTCCCATGCACTGTAACTACAGTGCATTAGAGTAGCCTCCTCACTAGTGTACAGGCACCCAGAACAGTTTGGGGGGGGGGTTGTTTTTTGTTTTTTTTAGTGATGCTTTAATGCACATTAAAATAAGATATTACACATTAAAGCATGTGTAGACATGTCCACTCTGTATATTTTACCAAAACATTTACCTACCAGCCAGCAGACATTGTTTAATGTTATTTCAACTTAAATCTGGTACCGTTGTTTTAAATGGAATGATATGCCTATTTATATTTACATTTGCAGAAGGGCTAGAAAGGCAATTAGTCATCTGCTTGAGATAACACAGAATGATTTAAATGCATCTTGCATAATATCAGAAGTGCATCCACTTTAAATAGGGCAGCAGTGGAGAGCAGAACCTGACTCGATCTAAGTAAGAGCTGGTGAGGGGTTAAGGCAGAGAAATGACCAACTAACATTAAAATCTTCCTATAGCAAGTGCCACTTTCTCTACAGAGGATGTCCCACAATGCTGTTCCTCAAGTGCAGAACCCATTTTCTTTTGCTAGTAGCTTACAAAACCAAAAATCCTCAGAGACTGCCTTCTCCCAAAGTACCACAGCAGCTGCAACCTTGGCCTCTACGATACAGTCCATTTAAACCACTAGAACAAACCCAGTCTCCTTCAGGTAAAATTGATAGAAAACAAAATAATCTTTTTGGTTTTGTTGTTTTTGTATAAATTATGTACAGGAAAGAAAAGTGATGTTTGCTTGTCCATGTTTGTCTTCATGTAGGTGCAGGGGGGAATATTAAACTCTAATCCTACAACAGTTGACTTTTATTTAGGGCTGACATTTAACTTTGTGGTGGATTGCAAAAAATGTCTGGTTGCTTGACATGATGGCAGATGTCATTTCAAGTATTGGAGCCTCTAGTAAGAGGTGCTCTGCTAATTATGTACAACAAAACGAGGAAGAGGGATAACCCCAGTAGAATAATGTAACCCATTTATAACTACACCTCTAAAATGCATAAAAATCAGTCATCTGCTCTAGCCACCACTGAATCATTTTAAATACTACTACTACTACTACTACTTTTAATAGTAGAAGTGGACCCATGTTGAAATGCCTGGGACGGGGTTAGAATACTAAACATACAGTTCGTTGTAAGGGTAATTAGCAAATGTTAACTATTTTCAAAAATGCCATAGTCTTATTGGCAGACACAGTTCCTTGGGTGAATTTGATATCTTTTATTAGACCAACCCAAATAGTTGGAGAATAGTTATTAAGCAAGCTTTCGGATTCAAAAACCCTCCGTCTTATTGGGTCTTTCTGAGTTCTGATATAAAATCTGAATGGGTTGCTAATTATTCAACTGAGAAGGTAATTAAAAATACATAACTGTTTCAAAGTACCCAGCTGGAATGCCTATCTACATACTTGGTTTAGCTGCAGTTTTTAAATATGTAACATGCCTCAAAATTAGTTGACTAAGTATTGAGATGTTGTATAGTAGGAAAAATTTATACGTCTAACTTACTTTTCCTTGGGTATAATCAAAGCTATATCTCCCTTGCACCCTGCTCCATTCCAGCCAGTTCCTCAGAATAATCTAAAACCTCACCAGTCTCTTGTCCTCCAACCTATTTGCATTGTTCCACAGGTGAATATTCATTATTTTTATACAAAACTATCTACAGACAGTTTGGGGTAGCTTCTGGTAATTAACACTAACCATCCAAACAAGTAGATCCAATATTGCAAGACTTCTGGCTCCCTAAGCTTGCACCACTATTTTTAAATTACTTTTTTTTTTTTCTTCTTGATACGTTCTACAAGAGCATACATTAATTAAGGTACTGTCCCCATGATGAAGTAGGACAGTTGCCTTTGAAAGTCAGCAATAACACTTAGCACAAGCTCAGCCGATCTAAGAACCAAATTCTACCATGTGGCACAATTTAAGTGTTGTGAACAAAATGGGATCTGAACCATAAGCTTCCTCTTGTCCCCTCACTTCGCTTCTTTTTTAACATGGCACTAAATGATAGGAATGAAACCTAAATCTTCCTTGCAGTAGAACAGCTACATAAATCTCCCATTCAGTAGCTTGAGTATATACTTTGAAAAGTGCCTTGCCTTTTCTCCTAGGCATCTAATTCTTCCCAGAATATTCCAGGGGATGATGTCAAAGTAGAAACAGAAAAAGCATCGCCACTTCATCCAGAAAAATCAAATGCTCTTCAAAACAAGATCTCTGAAGGAACAGTTGAATCTAAATCCATAAATCAAGAACAAAGTATGCATTGTCATCATAGAAATATAACGGAGATCAAAGGCACAGACTTTAAATACATATGTATGTGTACTTTTGTTTGACCAGTGATATTCAGATACGTTTGTTTCCAAGCTAATATGGAAATGCTGCACGCACATTTTTTGAGAGAGGGTGCTCTTTCTTTCCAGGTATACTTTGTTCCTTTAATTTTTTTTTTTTTTTTTTTTTTTTTTTTCCCTTGCTGATTTTTCATAAAGCTAGGTAAAAGATGTCCTGTTCTTCTGGCTGTATCCAATAGGAAGAAAACATACAGTCAATGAACATTTTAAAGGCTTAATTTTTAACTGGAACTTTTGCAGCAGGAACAAATAACCTAATGCTTCAGAAAGTTTTTAAAGGAACCTAGATTCAGATTCAGCTTACTGATTGCCTGTTACATAACAAAACTTGGCTTAACTTCAAAACTTCTCTGAAGCTCCCTGGAATGTCTCCACATAGCAATAGCTGTATTTCTGGCAAGTAACTGCCAAAATAAACAGATGCTCCATTTTTCTGAAGTGTCTAATTAAGTGATTTCTACATCTCTGATATTTTTCTCATGCAATAAGAAAAGAGTATGTCTACCTGTAGAATTTCATTCTCTTAGGACTTCCAATAAGGCATCCTGAAGTAAGGAATTCTACAACATTGCCTGCAAAGGGCAAAGTTTTCCCAGGAAAGAGGTCTTATATAGCCCATAACCAGAAGGTAACTTTCAGAGTAGGACTGAAGGACTGTCTTGGGAGTAGTTTGGGAATATTCTGTCCCTAGAACTCTTTCTCTACTTAAGGATGCAACAGACTTTAGTAGTTTTGAAATATATTTTGATGAGCTGGAAATCAGTTGCCCCTGCTAAGGATGGATTAGCCCCTTCTTGGAAGCAGGGGAAAGTGCCATCACAGAATGAAACTTTTTCTGGGCCCAAACTAATGGAGACAGAAACATCTACCAATGTCATAACGTTTTGCAGCATTATACACAATAAAACCCAGATGACTCCTATCTGGATGGCTTTCAATCTGATTTATTAATTGTGGGTTGCTGAATTAAGAAAAAGGAGCTTTAGTTGTTTTGCTGCAGCTTTTTCTACAGTGAAGTAGTGCCCTTAAGTCAGACAGAGCTCATAAGCAGTCCTATGCAGCTGATGGGATAAGTTGCCCTTTGAAATTAAAAGCTGCACCCAAATCATCATCTAGAAAATTAAGTCTACTGTTAGAAAATCCATTGCCTTCCAGGAAGTAATAAGGCACACTTTCACAGAAGAACAAAAATTGCTGTACCAGTATTTAAAATCTTTTCATACTAGTTTGCAGTTCTAGGGCTTAGACTGGAGACCTATGGATGAGCTAGCCCAGACACTGTGGCTCGGGACAGACATTCAAAAAGCCTAAGCCTGAGCCTGAAGTGATTCAGTCTTTGCAGGTTAGTCTAACCTGGCTAGGCTGAACCAGTTTGTAACCACACAGACAGACATCCCCTTTGGACTGAGGAAATACAGGCACATGCTTGCATTGGCTCAGGCTAAAATCTGGTGGGGGGGGGCGCTACAGCAGCCCTCCCCCCTTCCATAGTGCTGAGCTGAGGGGGGTGGGAGTGGCCAGGCCCCAACAGGGTGCTCTGATTAGGGAGCAAAATAATAGCCTCTCTTAATTCAAGCTCTTCTTAAACAGGCTTTTCCAAGGAAGGAACAGTGGGACATTATCAGCTACCTATTGATTAGCTCCAAAAAGCACTAAGTGGATACTGTCCTGTCTGCCTTTGTCCTGTCTGTCTTGCACATACACCTCCTCAGCAATAGCTAGCATACCACATGCTGGCTACAGTCCATGTTGTGGGAGAGAAGAGGGAGAGAGCCATGCTTGAGCAGTTGGGGGGTGGAGCCAGGCAGACCCTGCTTCATAGTTTTGTAGCTGGTAGGGTCAGAAGAGACCTGAGCAGATCATCAAGTCTGCCCCCCTGCCATGGGCAGGAAAGAATGCTGGGGTCAAACAACCTCAGCTAGGTGATTATCCAGCCTCCTTTTGAAGACCCCCAGGGTAGGAGTGGGCACCACTTCCCTTGGAAGTTGGTTCCAGATCCTAGCCGCCCTGACTGAAGTAGTGCTTCCTGATGTCTAGCCTGAATCTACTCTCTGTCAACTTATGGCCGTTATTCCCGGTAATACTCAGGGGAACAGGGACTCTCCCTGCCTGCTGGTCCCCCTTGGCAAGTTTATAGATGGCCACCAGATCCCCTCTCAGTCTTCCCTTGTAGAGGCTGAACAGGTTCAGGTCCTGTAGCCTGTCCTCATACGGCCTGCCCTGCTACCCCCTGATCATGTGAGTGGCCCTCCTTTGGACTCTCTGTGCTGTCCACATCCCTCCTGAAGTGTGGAGCCCAGAACTGGACGTAGTATTCCAACTGCAGCCTAACCAATGTTGCATAGAGGGGGAGGATCACCTCCTTGGACCTGCTCATGATGCATCTGTGGATGCATGACAAGGTGCGGTTAGCCTTCCTGACCGTGTCCTCACATTGGCAGCCCATGTTCATCTTGGAATCAATAGCAACTCCAAGATCCTTTTCTGCCTCTGTCTGCAAGTTTCTGGGAGCTCCAGACAGGGAGCAGAAGGGAGGGGCCAGCCCAGGTCTCTGGAGCTGAGGTTGCCACCCAGTGCTGCAAAGCATCTGGGATGCTGGAGGACTCTGGTTTAACTTAAAGCAGGATGGGGTCTGGAACAGGCATTGCATAAACTGGTTTGACCCAAAATAGTTAAGCCTGACACTACATTCGACCAGGCTTATCTCAAACCGGTTTCAGCCACTTCCAAACCAGTTTGTGCACTGAATGTCTGTTCTGTTATGGGTTTAAACCAGTTTCTCATCACTTAAACCAGTTTATGTGTAATGTCTT